GAATAACCTTAATTTCTTTTCAACTGTTACACAGTTCAGTGCCTTAAAGTGCCTAGCAGCTTTGTATCATAACAATGTGGGTAGAATGTGTAAATGAACTGTTGTAGACTTCCCTTCACCTTAACAGCATTCAAATCTCCCAGTTCAAATCATTCAAAGCGGGATGACATGATTTTCACTGGCTCTAGGGCTGTTGCTCTAACTACAGATTGTACTTCCTCCTTTTTTGCGTACCTGCATACTATGGACACAAAGACTAAAGTGGATCAAACTCACCTCAAACTCAGACCAATCTCAGATTAAATGGTACAACTATGCAGTGCTGGTCAAATAGAAACCAAGATTCTGTCACCATATTGGATATTTCTTGCCTAAAATGTCTTCAGAAACAAACTCTAGTGCACTGTTTGCTGTAATACAAGAATTTGTGAACAGGAAGGGGGCGCCATACTGTCTGTAAAATCAGAGGCTTAAGAATTCCTGAGATCCGACGATAAAACTAAGCAGTGAACCAAGATTTTGTTACTGTGTTGTCTATTTCTCGCCTTAAATGTTTACACAAACATATTTTAGCTCTTTCCTGGGTCAAAACATCTAGGCCCACATTTTGTCACCCACCAGGAGGTGACAAAGGAGTGTCTAGTGGTCCGGTGAGGCACAGTGCGTTCTCATAGCTGTAGATTATTTACCTCTTCAGCAGAAATGAATGTCACAGCCCTTTTCCTCTGTTTTCTCTGGTCATGAGGCACCAGTTCCAAAAGCATTTGAGTCTTTCTGCTGCAATGACTGGCCAGTTTTACGAAAAGACAATTTTCCAGGAGTGAAACACTTGTTAATGTTCAGTGCTTGGCTAAGGTGTTTAATAGTGTTGGTTACTCACGACAAAGTCTGAGAGAGAGCTACTGTTGGCGTTGAATCTCATATTGATTACACTTCCCTGACCCACTTTCCTGCGTGTCTCTGTCTGTCTTTTTGTGTCTGCTTTTGAGCCAGACAAAATAAGTATCATATCACACATGACATACATCAGTACCAGTATGTGTCTGCACAAACACACAGACATGAGCACTGCGCCGGTGCACGAGCATACACACACAAACGCGCACACCTGATTTGTGCTACTCATAAGGCTCTCTCAATATCAGACAAGCTGTGGTCTGGTTCTGTGGGAAGCTCTGCAGGAGCTGTCGGACATTCTGATTGAAGGAAAATCTCATTACAGATTAGCTGTGGGCGAAAAAATATGATTAATTCAGAGGCGGGACAATGGATGATCCTCACTCACATTAAGTATATTCGTTTGTGCACAGATAATGTCCCAGCAGGACTGAGGAGAGAGTTCTTATTACAACCTCTCGTCTCTCTTCTCCAGCACACTGACCAGAGCAAGCTGGAATGTGTAAGAGACCAGCCAGAGGAACCAACCATACCTCGAGGTTGATTTTGTCTTTCTGGGTCTGTACAGAAGAGTGTGTTTGAAAGTAACTGCATGAGAACAAGCATTAAGTGGCCTCTATAGAGAACTTATATGTTTACGTATACAGTATATACATATATATATGAATGTGTGCTTTTGTGTATGTGTGTGAGAAAGAAAGAAATGGACCTCCATAGATGACGTCCTCCTTTCATTAAGATGTCCTGCGGGGAATCAGGAGATATCAGTCACATCCGGTACATAATTCGAAAGCCTAGCCACAAAATGCTGACAGGGGTCTCCACGGAAACGACACAGAAACGCTTCAGCTCCCTGCCTCTAGTCCTAACACAGCTAAATGTCTCATGGCAGCACATTCCATATATAGCCAGCTCACTATCAAGGATGACGCTGCTGTGACTCCTGACATAAAATAACAGTCCTTTACAATACCATGTGTATTTTAAGAGCAGTGAGTCAGGTCAAACATAAAGCTGGAATAACAGCCAGGCCGTTACGTATGAGCAAAGATAAGAAACTACACAACTCAATAGAGACTGACATAGGCATACACTCGGATTTTTACACAAACATTGTGCTAGGGGGTCAAATTTGACTCATTGAAATTTTTAAGGACATTTTCCCAAACTACTGGATATTCCAGTTCTGAATCGGTAGCCACTGAAAAAACAAAAGTACTCTACAGAAAGCTCACTCAGCAGGCAAGATGGCGGCGGGCGCTGGTGCTGCGGCTGTATGCGCTCTGTGTTGGTGCTATGTTGTGTGTTTGCTGAGTGTAATGGTGGGATTGTTGTTGTGCACCATTAGGAGCAGCATGTCCAATTTCGTTGTATCTGGTATACAATGACGATAAAGGTTTCTATTCCATTCTATTTCTATTCTATTCAATTAAATGAGAATCTCATATCCTAATGGAAGCAATGTTCAAGTCATTGTTTCAGATGTTTATTATCAGGCTACCGTACGTTTTTGTTTTTTTTTAAAGATTATTACTATATAATAACTATAACTATATAATATTATACTTTTTTGCCTTTAATGGATAGGACAGCCTGAGTCGAACCCAGGCCGCTGCAGTGAGGACTGAGCCTTTGTACATGGGGCGCCTGCTCTAACTGCTAAGCCACCAACGCCCTCATGCTGTATATTTTAAAGGGAGTTTAGACGAACATCCCCTTGCAAACAGGTGAGACCTAACAAACACTGATTTTTTTACTCTATATTATTCTGTCTTATGTAAAGAAAGACCATGTGTCAGCTTGTGCGCTCTCTAATACTCCAGCAGACAGATGGATATAACATAAAGCAGGCCTCTTCAACTGGCTGCCAGTGGGCCACATCCGGGCCGAAGGCAACCTCCGAGTGGCCCAGCATACATAAAACTGATATATCGGTATGACAAAAACTACATATAGTCTCTGGAAGTAGCTCATGCGTGAGTCATCTCGCTTCCCACTGTTTGTCATATCTTTTACAAATCAACGTTCATGTGTTTTTTCTTCACAATTTTCCTTAACCTCGATGGAAAACATCATTAGGGGTGCTTTGTGTGGGAAGGTATTGGTAGAAAGAAAAGTGCTATATTGTAGGCAACTGAACTTGCTTGCATTTCTTGAAGACGTTTCATCTGTCATCCATGAGGCTTCTTCACATCTGAAGATAAGACTACCATGACCTGGATGACTGAGAATCTTAACCAATTCTGCTTCTGCACTTTGTAATGTGCCTGAGTCACATTTCTGACCAAAAATATATTCTTTATTTCAAAAGTGAGATGATAAACATTGCAACCTTTTTACTACATTAATTTGCATTTGTTTTGCATTTAAAATTTGTCATTGCCAAAAGCTAAAAAAGGTTTTAATGAGTGTCTGACCCCTTTACATTTTCTGATTTTAAAGTCTGGCCACATTGAATTCGTAATCAAAGAGCTCTGGTGTAACAAGTTTAATTAATATTACATATTTAATCTATTGATTTAAAACAGAATAGATTACCTGTAATTATTTCATTTTTAATAACAGCTACAAGTTATTAGCAGAATTTAAATAGCATTAAAAAAAATGGGCAGAAAAGTTTGAGACCTCTTTAAAGCTTAAAGTCTTAAAGCAGGCTTGGCAGTAAGCCTTCTTTTCAGATTAGGGAAGCACTGCATTACCTGCTTTGGGCATAAAATTGGTGATGTGCAAAGACCTCAGAATATACTGTATATGAAACATTAACTTGTGAAAGTTGCGCAAAAATGTTCTTCTAAAAAAAAAGTGCTCGTTACTTCTTTTTTTTGTTTTAGCTCATGCAGGCAGATGGGTCACATAATGAGGAACGCAGCAGAGAGTTAGATTTTTATCTGTGAAACACAATGTGTCTCTAAAGACAGGGGAGGCAACGAGGCCTGTCTGTCAGCCACTGGCACAATGAGTGATCCCTGGCCATAGCAATGCTCCCCTGCCATTACCTAGATGATATTTTTCCACCGCTAAATGTCACATCAATATTCTCGACCGACTAATTAATCTCAGCTCCCATGGAATCTGGTGACATCTCACATCCTGTTGGAATACAGATAGCGCCACAGCTAGACCTTTGCTCCTAACACATATTTGCCCAGAGCACTCAAATGGTGTAGTTCAAACACTGTTCAACCTCATGCATCCTTTCCATCTTAAAAATTTAAGAAGGTTTCACTGATAAAACTTTATTAGCGTGGGCAGTGGCAACACAGCTTGACTTCTATTGGATTGTGGGCAGAGGGTACTTCAAGGATAGATGGGAAAGGAAACGATTTTTCACAGGATGTTCTACAGGAGGATTTAAGTCTGCTGTATTCTGAGCTGTGTGTTGGAGGTGAGTGATAGCCCGAGCGTTAGGATGGTGACATGAGGTGAGCGGGTGATTACTAAAGACGAACAAGGTCAAATCGCTCAGTGTTCCTCCCGCTGTTGTAAGGTTGAGCGCTGGTGGAATAAAAGGCTTATGTTGTTGACTGGTCAGGACCCACCGTTCTGACTAACAGCAACTGTCTCAGCATGGATGTCAGATCATAGTGATGTTAGTCTAATAGCTTCCGACCCTCACAATCCCAATAATAACTAAAGAATACTTTCACATTTCCAATCTGCCGTTATGTGCATGATTGCAAATGAAAGGAAGGAAATCCATTAGATGCCATTTAGAGCTGAGTCACCCTCAGCCTGAATATCATATCAGGTAATAAAGTCACAGAGTAGTCTAATGACAAGGGTTTGGCTTCTCTGCACATGTTGTGTTGTGGAAGTGCATTCCCAGAGGTGTTCAATACACAAAGTGTTTTTTGCTTTTTAAATCATGACATTGAGGAGTGTGAACCTATTTGGGCCCCAGGTGATTCAGTTCCTTTCTGCAGTAAAAGCTTGTTGCTAAGCAATGTTAGTTAAAGCCAGGGACTGTACTTAGAAACGTGTACTTAGTGAATTTGCTGAGAATCATAAAGCATAAAGAATGCTGGAGCCTTGTTGATTTTTAGTCCAGCGACTCTCTGTGGTTCAGATGTTGTGCAACAATGCAGCACAGGCTCAGTGCTTACCTGTCCTACATACACCAGCAGTCTGGCGTTGAGAGGGCTCTCATCAGGACTCAGCCAGAACTCAGAGTTATCATCCGATGATACCGAGAACTGGAAATCACCTGGAGGGGAAAAAAACACGATCAAAGTGTGCGTTGGTGGAAGCAGATACGTATGATCTCAGATAAGCATAATCGCAGTAATCAGATAGGGCATGACCTGATAAAACAGACTCTTAGGTGTACAAATGCACCTCAAATTGGATGCCCGGACTGCCTCTGGCTGTGGTCAGAGCTGTGGCATCTGGCCACATATGATATGAAAAGTGTTTCTCTAACTTAATTTCCAATCCATATGCAACGACTTCTGCATGAGAAAATGAGCATTTGTGCACTGATCTAAACCAGAAGGAGCACAGAGCGCAGATGAGCAGCCAGTCGAGTTAGTTAATTAAGGTTATCTTTAAGTATAAACATGGATAATCGGGATACTTGAGGATTATGAACAAGTTCTGTCGGGCAAAACTATTAATAGTAGAAGCTGCATAAAGCTAATTCCCCCTCAGCAGATGAACGCCTCAAGCTGTTGCCTGAGACACTTTCTCCTCTGTTATGGGAAGTACTAAATAGTGCTTGTCAGTGTGACTTTGCAGTTCTTTGTCAAAGACTGAGATGACAAAATGGTGTTGGGAGTGGCAAACAGTACTCTGCAGTACAAAGTAGATATACTTCTACATAGTACAAGCTGATATTCTGTCACAGTGTGCAACAATCAACCTTGCAAACCCTTCTGTTTTTATATTTCCGTTTCCTAGTTGCCACCCAGGGTCACAATTCTTCCATGTCACTTCCTATTTATAACAAATTTTCATGCATTTTTTCCCCTCATTTTTGTTACCCCAACCTGTTTCTGGCACTTTACAATGTGTATAAGCCCTACCACTGTTTCAACTGCATGTGTGTGGGGGGTCGACTGGGAGCCTCCCGTTCCATCTCGTATAAGCATCTAGGACCCAGAGGTGTGTGGGCATGAAAGGACAGCCAGGTGTAGGTCTGGCCTTCCCCCCTCTCCCTGGTATTCTGCTGGAGCATCAGGGTCACGGACCAAATACTAAACCAAATTAAAGTAGTTGACATAAAAATGCTGATGCAGTGTACTCCATTAACCAGAATGCAGAAAACAAAGTCTTTAAAATTCTTCTGAGGGATGACCCCCTGTTCCCCCTCTTTTCCAAATCCTCCCTATTTTTGAGGTCTCAAAATTGGCAAGCACAGTAGAAAATCTCCAAAGTATAATTCATATTTGAAATATACTTGTATCTGACTAAATCAGAAAGATAACTGCATAAAATGCCACTGCATTTTCAAGGACACACCACTGGCCTATGAATAGGGTGCAGGTCATGTGACAGTGAGCAGTTTTTATCGTCTGTAATCTGGAAAACCTCATGCATTTCTGTGCGGCTCACTCAGGTTATTTAGCACTCAATCAATCTACAATAGCATGTAAAAGGTTGCGTCTGGCAGTGTGAGGGTGAAGGGCACTTGTTAGCGTGCTTGTCAGAATCCTGAAGATAGCATGACCTTTGAGCCATCAGCTGGAGAAAGCCATAACACCAGCCAAAAAAAAAGCCACATAAGAGACCGAAATGAACGGTAATCTAATTAATAACTTCATATTCTGCAATTTGTATAAGGGCACTTGGGTGTTAAGGCTTTTCAGTTCCCATAGCAACTGGGCTCTGGGGTCCTGCAATGAGATTTAGCAGTGAGATCCCTGGCATTCAACTCTAATAAAAATGTGAATATCCACTATATTAGTGGCTCTCAAGAGCGTGGATTAAGAGGGCAGTGGAAATTGTCTACTCTTATAAAGGACACATGCTCCAAGGCCCTCAGCCACAGAGGAGGGACTCGCTAATAAGATGAGCTAGTTACCATCTCTGTAAGGGTGAAGGAAGCCAAATATTCTTAGGCCATAGTTCTTCCACTTTGGAGCGACTGCCAGCTTCCTCAGTGTGGTTCTGGTCTGCAGGGAGAAACAGGGATACATTCAGATTATAAATGCAGGTGTTGCATTAACAGATTTTTTTTTAAATGTGAGTGAACCCTATCCACCAATCGGCCATTCACTAAACCAGTGATTGTCCAAGTGAGCTTAGCAACCGTAACTATGCACGGCAGGCTTTTTATGCATCGGATTTCTTCACTTGTTGAAGAGGCATGTGTCTGCTCTTACTTATAACACTAGGACTAACTAGCTCTGCACTGCCTTACAAGAACAATGCTGTTTCCGTGTCTTCTGCATTAATCATGGTGAGGATGACGGGATGCTTTTGCCTGCGATGGCCTCAGTCTTTTAGCACGATATCATAGTTATGTGCATATCAAAGTCCCTTTTGCAGGCTTCCCATTTTCAAATGAGTCCGTTTGAAACATTAAAAAGTCAGCCAGAGATTGCGTTTTCAACCGACTCATGGAGCCAACGTTGGCTTAATTAGATAGCTGGCAACAGTTGATAAAATCTGTTAGTGACAGTGACATTTCAGCCAGCAAATTGACAATCACCACCTAGAAATGAAAAGCCTGCTACTGTCTTCCTCTGTTTGAAGATAAGGACCCTTTTTTTTTTTCAAAATTTCTGGTGGTAAATCATGCACTTGCAAACTGTGTAAGTGCTGTGCAAGAACAAAGAGCCTGGCAGGTGTAGCAACAGTAACAAAGGGGTTAGAGGCTTTGCCTGCAGTCAGCTTAATATACCTTTAGTGTTATTACATTCAGCCCACAAGAAACACAACAGTATCAAACAGAAGGTCACTCAGCACGCTCTGTAATACTTACATGAGGGTAGAGAGGGAAGTGCAGGTTCTTTCTGAGTTGGGCTACAGAGGATCCACACCAGTCCTCAAACACATGCAGGTTGGCCTGGCCCTTATACTGCAAACACACAAGCACACACAGAGAGGAAACAGGTTAGTGCACACAGCAACAACAGCATCACATTTACCATTAAATAGGCAGGTTTTGCTTCAGTACTTCAGCTACGCGAGCTCCCATCCTGACAGCAAAATTGCCATTTGCTCTGGGTTCAGTAGATATATTTTTGCACTGGAATGTATATTATACATGATGCCTCCCCGTCGCACATGAGAAATGAACTCTCGGTGAAACATGTGAATGCAGCGTGAAGTTTCCAATGTTCTCACTGTCCTGAGTAAGAGAAGGTGACAGAGAGCTCGTCAGGAGTATCAGGGGGGAGAGTGTGAACTGAGAATGTCTGGAGCAGTTTGTCAGAGCTCATCCCCTGCCCATAGTTTGACATTTGTCTGAATTACACAGGGAAATCACAGGACATAGCAAGGACAGATGGTAGAACCAGTCTGCCTTGGGGTACAGTTTCCTCTCTCTCTCTCACACACATACACACACACACAGACACGGGTCTGCTCATATGTGAGAAGAGATGACTCTCTGATGACTCGTGTGTCATGCCGCTTTGGAAGTGGAGTGTTTTGGATCACATGCAATGTAAGAAAATATATATAAATGGAATATGGAGTAAGGCAGAGAGGAGTATAATATTTCACATCCTTACACACACACACATACATTAACGCTCACCACAAACAAATATTTTGATTCAAAAAGTGAGACGCACAGCAGGGGGGATGACACAGACACCAATTATTAAGCATGACATGAGAATCAGAGAGGTGCAGTTGCATGGCTACACATTTGCACACGCACTCACACATGCAGTTTACGCCTAAGGAGGTTGTCTCAGTGATTTAGTGACCTGAAAACTCGAGCTCTTCATTCTGGATGATCAACCAACTGTACCAACACACATTCGCATACTGTACCCACATATGCTTCCCTTTAATGCGTGACAGCAGACCCCAGCAGGCTGCCACTGTAATGTCGCCACAGATATTTAGAACATCACACAGAACTTGAGCAGCAGCCTGACTCTCGCCAAATGACTGCGAGACCATGCAGTGGAGTTCCCCGGTTGGATCAAAGCAAATGCTTGCTGGATGAAGGTTGCTCTTCTGTGTGCAGAGTACCTGCTAGCTATATAGTCAACAAGTGTGAGCTGTCAAACCAATCAATCAGGAGAGTGAGTGACCCTTTAAAAAAAAAAAAAAAAAAAAGAACCCACACACATAGCCGCGTATCTTGTGCTTTTATCGGAGGGATCAGACGGGTGAGACTGGAGAGCCCTTCAAGGTAAGCACCTCTACATGTCTGCATTTAGAGGACAAAGACATGGATGGGAGGTGTCATGCTCTTTCACTATCACACGGGCATTCTAACAGATGGCCTGACTCAAAGTGGTCCTTTTCATTTATCTCCCGGTTCTGTACGGTCAACTAAGTGCCCGGCACACTGACAGCCGAGCGGCAATTACAGCTCATGCATTAAGCATGAGATATTTTTTGTTGAGCAAACATGTCAGTCTAAAGCAGCGAGACTCCTGATTTTAGATTTTTTTTCATGCGCATGTTATTTTTCTTTTTTCCTGCAGATAGACTGATGCGAATGAAAAAGAGGACAAGACAGGGATTTGCGGGGGTGACAGAATCAAATCAGAAAAAAAGTGGCAAGTCAGAAAGATGAACGAGAGCGTCTGATGTTTAAAAAAAAGGGAGTGGCAGAGAGGGGGAGGCACAGCGAGGTTAGAGAGAGATTTAACAGACGGGACTAGTCCCTGTGTAAATATGCCTTATGTAAAGCTTTTAATAGATTTCCTGTGGGTTTTAAAAGCAAACCTTTTTTCGCCCTGGCCCCCTCCTCACCCATCCTCTTGTCAAATAGCAATAAGAGGGCAGCTTTAGAAGTTCCTAATTATTCACACACACGTATCGTTGTGTAGCCCCGGAGAGGCCACAGGCTGTAAAGTCGGCTTTCTGCTCGGGGGGTGCTTGTGTATAATTGGTTGCATTTTCTGGGTGACAGGGCAACTAGAGGTCTGTCTGTGCTCCGGCCTTGACAGGATGTGGAATGGGGCTAGCGGGAAGTTATTTCTTCTTCATCCTTAAACTCACCCTGTCATCCCTTTGCCTCCCTGACTGCTAAACTCTCCCCTCACTCCTGTTATGTCATTTGGATTTTTCCCTGTAAGCGCTGCTCCTGCCTCTCGAAGCCTTAGGTGCCACTATCCCTAATGTTGTCTCCTCTTCCGTCTGACCTCTCTATTCCTGCCTCTCCTTGCCTCCGTCTCTGTCTGCGTGCTGCCAAACACTGTCGATTTCTCTCCTCGCTGTCTTTAGTTTCCCTGAGCTCAGCTGTCGACTGTCAGTTCCCTGTGCTGTCTCCCTCTATCTCATTTTTTGTCTCCCTACCGATTCCTCATTTCGGAGCATAGGATAAAGTAACGCTCACATTAACAGTTTGTATAGAGATGACTTTGATGTTTGTGGGGTTTTTTTCTCTACTTGGTTGTGTGCGTGGCGTACGGTAGGAACATGCTTGTGCTGTGGCAGCTTGTTGCTTTTCAAACGACAGCTTTTTTTACAACCATGTCAGCTCACATTCCCATTCAGTAATTGGCTGAAGAAGAGACAGACTTGACTGCAGCTGTCTCTCCTACTTTCTTCCTTCACTCTCATTTGTTGTTATTTAATCCACAACCAGAGACAGACTGCTGTGTTGTCCTGCCACCGTGGACTTTTAGTCTAATCTAAAAACTGGAGGGTTAAGGAAGCAGTGTTTCCTGTACTTGCACCCACTATAGAAAAAAAAAAAAATCACCACCAGCAAAATAGACTACAGGCACAGCTGCAAGAGAAGAGCAAAAATCAGAGTAGCTCTGCATGTCAATCACAATCATTCTGTCTGCTCTGAAGGTACATTTGATCAGAAGTCGCTTGTCTCACTTAGCTTGGGCAAAGCAGCGAGCAGAGGTAGCAGTCATAGGCGTAAAGTGGTTCTCTGTCAGGCTAATTGCTGGGACCTCCAGGCAAAGACAGGGAGGAGAAGGCTCTATACTGGCAAATGTCTTGAATTTTTTTTTTTATCTATTATTCTGTATGTATCGCTCTATGTTACTGCTAGCCATATGCGGCCATTAAAGGCGCGCAGATACTGACATTTTTGCTGATATCTGATCTGATCTGATATGCTGACTGATGTGTCCTACGTGTCTCATATAGTGGATGAATTCCTAAACACTCCACTGCTTCCAAGTAGTCACTCAAAAAGAAGATGTAGAAAATGCACAATAAGTAGTATTTTCCGTTTTCTTTTGTTTCTTTTTTGGTTCTGGTTTTTAACATACTTCCAAGCAATGATAATGCCTGTATAAAACGATACAATGTGCACTTACAACCACCAATAAATCCTTTATAATTACATTGTAGATTCAATAGATATTACAAAGAAGACATTGTCAAAATAATGTCCTTCAGCAAGACACCAAGCGCCCACATTGTTTGACAGCTCTGCCACCACTGGTGTTGTTAGTGTGTGTGTGTGTGTGTGTTGAATGAGTTAAAAAGAGGGACTGCACAGCTTTTTCTCATGCTCAGATTGAAAAACCCTATGAGTATGTGCAGTCTACGGTGTTAGCCATTTAAGAATATACCTTCACATGTTGAAAAATACATCCTCTCATTACTGTATTAACAATTTAAAATACATCCTTAATGTATACCAAGTGCAGCGTGCTGTATATCATTTAAGCGTTTAACCTGTGCACAGGCATCATGAGCTGCACAAATCTCAGGTCCAAACATTTTTATTTTTCAGCCTGGAAAAGAAGCCTGCGCCTTCCTTTTTCTCTCAGTTCTCTTTTTAACTTTCTGTTCATTTGTCTCTCTTAAGTCAGAATCACTTTGTCCTACCCTGTCATCTTCATCTCCACTCACCTCCTCCTCACTTTCATTACACTCCAGATGTAATCCAAGCATCTGTCCCACATATAGTCTTAAGCTACCACTGTTTCAAAGCAACACAGCACCTTCAGCTCAGGCTGCCATTAAAATAAAAAAGGAGGAGAGGGAGATGGAGGGAAACAATTAATGCCATCTGTCACATATGAGGAGTGAGGCGAAAACAGAAATACAGGAGGAAGGGGAAGTGACAGGTGTACGGGAAAGAAGCTGACTAAGAAAACAACAAGTGATTGATAAAGACGTTTAAAATTAAAGAGAGTACAGTATCCAGCTCGGCTTAAGAGGCCGCTCTAAACAGAGCTGTTACTGTCTTGCCGTTCCTCAGACCACACATTTCCATCACATAACCACATCTCTGCAAGCTTGTCTTAGCATATCTCCGTCTCGGCTGCTCTCTAATATCTCCTCTCTCTCACCCATCTGGTCGCACTATCAACAGGGAGCGCAAATCAGACTCTCTCTCTTTTCTCTCCCTCTCTCTCTCTCCTTCGGGAGGCTGTCTCCCTTTCTCAAAAATCTGGTGCAGCCTTCTGCGTTCCTGCTGGCAGCGAGGCACTGACAAATGGCCGCTCGGCGCACCCACTGACGAGCAATCGCACCAACTGACACTGTAAATCCCCTCTGGATAAGAAAAGTGAGACATGATGTTCCTGGCAAAGGCACGCTTGGTATATACAATAGCACTCAGCTCGCTCCCCCAGGGCATATAGGAGAGACGGCTTTAAAGCTCACTGTTCGTAACATATATTATGCTGCGGTTTAACTGAGCTGCTTTGCCGAAATGTAAGTGTTGAACGAATGATCAAATGATACATGTAACATATGGGTTATTCCCTCTGTGGCTGTGACAGGGATGTCATTGCTTGAACACAATCTATGAAATCTCTCCATCTGAATCCACAGAGGGCATTTAGATAGTTTCTCCCTGCCTATCTCATCTTTCTCTGCCCATTAGTAATTTAGGAACGAGGAGAGAGGAGGAAGCAGGTAAGTGGGCAGGTACGGTGAGGGGGAAAAGGGGGTTTTCAGAAGGTGCAGAGG